CACCTTTTCCATTAGCTCAGAGCATAAAACTACATATAAGAGTCCTGGTTCTTATTCCCTGCCTTATTCCCTGCCATCGCTGTGAAAAATCTGCAAGAGAATCTCGCAACTCTCACCATTTGATCACGCAACGTGACAACATTCACGCGAAAGCCCCCGACATGTGCGTGGATCCGCGCGGATATATGTCGTCAGGATGGGGCAATTTGTTCTTAAAATAGAAAATTTGTCCCATATCATAGGTGCGCGCGGATCCCAAGACTTACGGTCTCCGTCCTCGATTATGGCTCTTGATGTTTCAGAGAGGGAAAGGGCCATTAAGGTTTGTTTGAGTATGGTACTCCGCTTGGCGGCCCCTTGGGTCGCTGGAGCTTCTCTATAATGTACAGTATTTTTTTCCATTGAAATGCTAGGCAAAAGAACTCAAAATTGGTACAATCGAAATTTGACAAGCGGAACCCGCAAAAACTGGTCCCCAGATGCCCCCTCAGGGCAACTCTGCCCTCATGGGATATTCAACTCGACTTCTCACCAATCCCCTCACGGCTTCACCGTTGGCGTGCTGTGCTTACCGCGACTAGAATCACTCGCGCGCGAAATCCAGACTACACAGTGACAAACAAATCTTGATTCTCCTTCCTAAAAGTACTCCTTAAAAGAACAGAAGAAACGTGGAAAGATCGTTGAAGTGGAGGAGACAAGGCTGACCCGGAAATACGAGCAACCAACCTGTCACGCCAAGACCTATATAAAGGTTATTAATAGGGTGGAAACTTGATACCAAAAATCGTGTTTGCTTTCTTGAATTGAGCAATCCTGCCTGATTCGCCCTCTTCAGAGTTCAGTTCTAACACCAAGAGTGTATTTCACGACTGAAAATGAGCGTTTCTTTGCTATGGGTGGCTTCTACAATAAGTTTAATTCTTCTCTGGTATGTAAATGAAAGTGGAGGATCTTTATCAGGAAATGGAGCAAACGTTTGTTCAAGATCGCAAAGGTAAGCTTGATTCAAATTTGCTTTCTTTCATCATTCGTTTCCACTGTGGTTTGTACTGAGCCAGCCTTTCTTTTGCCACGCAAGCTAGGAAATTTCAAGTCGGTCAGCCATTTCATTGTAATAATCTGAGGGGATGTAAACAACATTGTTAAAATTTTACGCTTGAGAGTTCACTCTAAACTCTATACTATGCCTACTAACTGCATGCAATGCTTACAACCGTCGAATTTGTTTAATGTAAGCTTATACGATGAGGCTTAAAAAAGTCGACGTGCTTATATAACTGTTTTTTTGTTCGCTCGATGTCAACTGCACTATATAAGCATTTGATCAATACATCTTGACGATAATTAAACATGACCGCTTTGAATTTATTGTTGAATACTGATGTTTGCCTGCAGCCATAGTACCCAATGAAGCTTGAATGACGTGGTTGACAATTAGAAATCGATTTATCCTTAATTTGTTATCAATTTAGAAAGTGATTTAATATACCGTAAAGACCCGCAGATAAGCCGCGCCTTTTTTCCAAAAATCGTCGCTCAAAATCTTTAATCTTATCTTTGGCTTTCTCAGGGGTTGAACCCTGGGGGATTTGTTGTCAAGGTCAAGTTAAAAAACCTGCTAAAATGATTTATTGTTATTGAAGTGCAAATATTATACTCTGCACCATCATAATTTTCTTAAGGTTATTCCAAACCTTCATGGGGCTAATTTTTCCAAATTTTCTTTTTTCCAACCAAATTAAAGTTCGTTATTCAAGGTAACATTTTCCAAAAAAATGAAAATAAAATATTAAAACGTGCGCAAGTTATTGGGAAAAAGAGGTTTTCTAATAAAAGTTAGTTAACTGTCAAGGTGTCATAATCCCCAAAAGACATGGACTCCTCAGCAACCTTTTTGCAGCAAACGGCATAATCCAGAGATCCTATATTAACTACTTTCAATTTGAGATTTCATGTCTGTCAAGAGTGCCTTTTTGTAATCACGCTTCGGCAATTGCCCCTCAGTTTCTTTTTGTTTTGTTGCACATCGCTTTTCTCCGTTTTGCCCTTTATTGTTGACCACTGGCCTAAAACGTATGCACCTAAAACATGACTGTAACACTATCGCTTTACCCTGAAGCTCAACTTTCCTTAATGTGAACGCTAGGGGTTCTGTTATTTCATTGGCTAGCGGCATTTTGAGGTGACATATCCCTCTGAGAAGGTGTGCCATGTTTAGAATCTTTAGAAGTCGAAAACTTGCACTCATTTTTCGAGAGAATCCCTCCTCTTTAAATGAATTAATAGAGTATGTAGAATGGACGGTTTTCCTTGAAATTTGGCCAGAACATTTACTGATAGATGCGGAACCAGAAGGTGTCGGCGAACTCTTTTATTTCACCTACTTTTCTCGTGGTGGTCTCTAACGCAACATGTTATGCGAATTTTTCTATAGTGGAACTTGTCAGATCTATAAAAAGATAAACAACAGAAATGAAAGAAAATGCTGACATGCTTTGAGAGATTGATGCTTTGTGATTAAGACTGCACAGTTATTTTGCATCAAAGATCGCATTTGATATCTGATCAATTTGCTGGAATATCAGTCGGTTGTTTCGGTGTTAATGGCTTCTGCCACCTTAGGAAGGCAGTCAGCCAAAAAAGAATATAATTTTATCGAATTCTACATGTTATAACCTTTCTATTGATAGATAGTTTGTAGGGGTTTCCTTCAAAACAGCATGCGTACAATTTTTTTTCTGGAGGACACCCGCGAAGGTTTGAAGTAACCTTAAGCCTGGTTCTCAAATCCTTGCGACCTACCTGCGACGTAGTTGCCGGTTGGAACTGACTACGTTCGGCGATCTGTTCCAGTAGGCCCCCAGCGCATATGCGATGGATCACCGACGTACTCGAAATGCAAATAGAATTGGCGCAATTTTCAACCATTCCACCTGTAAATATGGATCGAATTGTCTTACTGGAGTACGTTGTGCCCGCAGATGATGTTCACATATAATATTTTCATCGCTGACAATGGCCGGCTTGCCTGCTAAGTTGAACTCAGCTCAACTTCGCAGGCAAACCGGTGGTCAGTGCCTTGGACAGATTATGATTCAGCGATAAATGTTCAGATGTGCTGTAACGGTGTCCCAGGCCATGATCCCAGGTATGTCAGTGGCATATGAGAACCAGGCTTTACTCATATAATAAATACATTAGGTAATTGTATCAACACTAGTGCAGAATTTATGCTACTCATGATGTTTGAAAAAATATTGACTAGTATATTAATCCATTAACAGTTATGTGCAGACATACAAACAATCTTATCAAATGAGTTGGAAGAAAAAGTCAAAAACTAAATGTGGATTGTGGGGCTGGGGACGATGCACAACATACAGGTGAGTTTATCGCTTGTCCACCTCAAATCTCCTTGGTTCCTGAGATTTATTATCTCTTTTCCCAATCAAATTTGAGCAAGAAGCAGCATGCAGCGTCAGTGTACCACAAAGTTACAATTTAGAGAACCTTAGGGGGTAGTGTGTGCAATTCTCACTTCCATGAGTGAATTGTGGTCAAGATCTGTGGTCAAGATCTGTGGTGACCTTTCAGCTGCTGCACTGGAAGATGCTTTAAGTAACCATGAAAATTAATTTACTTGATGAACACTACTTAAGGAGGAATGTGAGATTATTTCCCGCAACAATACAGTGTGAATTTTCTACTCAATACTGGGGATGTTCTTTTTGTTAGTACAGGATTACTGTAATTTACCTTGTAATTATTAAAGTAGCAAATCAGAGGTGTATTAAATTAACTGTCATATATTATGTATTTTTCATAAATTATGCAGAACAGTGTATGGCATGGCTTATAGAACAGCAACACGTCAAGCATACAAACATGTTTATTTCTGTTGTCCTGGTTGGAAACAGCGAGGAAATGGTTGTCCAACTGGTTAGTACTTTCCTGATAAATGTTGTAATAAACTGGTATATGATGTGTCAAAGGTGAGATGAAGAAAGGAATCTAAGAAATGAGTAGTGTTCAGTTTATGATTACTGTCTATTTGTAGAGAATATTGATAATATTAATGGTCCTGAATATTGTCTGTAGCATAATGTGTATTTGACACAGTGGACCATGATTGGGCATCTGGAAAATTATAATCAGGGCTGTCATCAAGTTTTGAGTCAAATTTAGCTTTGACCTTCACACCTGTAACAAACTTGTTACCTTTTGTGCAAATTGTATCAACTATAAGGCAAGTTCACCCGTAACATCAAGGGCCCATCAACCATACTCAGCCATAGCAGTTGTTACAGGTTATGGCCCCTATTGACAGCCCTGATAATTTTCTTTGAGGTTAGGGAGAACTCTAATTATAAAGAGATCTCAATGGGGGGCTTATTAGAGTGGAATAAGGTTTCTTGAGGATATCATAATTAGGCTATAACTTTTGGTTCAAACACTCCAACCCATCGCTTTGGAAATAATTCCAGTTTATCTTCATAATGTTTGTTTAAAAGTTTCCTTGGTGTCAGCTCATCATCTCCCAGTCAGAATTTCTAACGCTTCTTGTCCAGAGTGGTTATTGATATCTTCTTTAACCACACATTGCTACTGTTAAGGCCATTGTTGGTTGCCAGTTTTTTTTATGATTCTTCTTTTATTTTTGGGCTGCCAGAGTTCCACTTCACTAAATGGTGCCAGCTGGGTAGTGAACCTCTATTATCATTCTTATGTACAATCAAGTTTGATCTAGTTTGTTTGTGCTGCTTGCTAAAACGTTGAATTTATCTTTCTGACAGCTATCTGCAAGAGTGCTTGTATCAATGGGACATGTACAAAACCAGATACTTGTTCATGTAATGCAGGCTTCTACGGAGCAGTATGTGACAGAGGTGAGCATTCTGCAGTCTTCTCAATCATCGTCAAGTTTTAAAATTGATCTTACAAGTTGATAAAGTGGAGACAAATTTGAAGGAAACATGGCCTGTGGTTTTGTTGTGGATGGGCAAGGAAGGCAATCCAGTACCCTACCCTACCCTTCTACAGTTTTTGTAGCCAACCTTATTTCAGCAAGAAAAGGCCTCACTTTAGAGACTGTTGGTTGAAGCTAATGGGCATCTGTTCAATCACAGGGAGCAGAGGAGTCCTATTTCACTGTCTGTATTTCCAGTTAAACTCATGTCATGTGCAATTGTATCTTGGATCAATTTGTTGATTTAAATCACTGCACTTGATCAAACTGTATACAGTCATGTAATCGTGTTATGGGCTGTTGAAATCCTAACTGTAGCAATGTTTAGTCTCTAGGCCATCTATAAATTAGAGTACTTTGTTAATGCTGTCAGTTTGTAGTGTTTGTTACCTTAAAGTGATATTTAATTGTAATAACTTCTGTCTCCTAATTAATCCGTTATTTCTTTCTACTAAGTATGTCCTTCTCATAAATGGGGTCCTCATTGCCGACATGACTGCACATGTCAAAATGGAGCTAAATGCCATTCACGCACTGGCACATGCACCTGCACTCCCGGATGGAAGGGTCAGTCATGTGATCAGCCCTGTGACCAAGGTTACTATGGCGACAAATGTCAATACCAGTGTGCTTGTCAGAATGGTGCAACTTGTGAACCTGTTACAGGAAATTGCTCATGTGCACCGGGTTATAAAGGAAAAAGGTATGGATGGCCTGTAAACTAGAATCATTCTTGCATAAGTAGCACTAGCTCTATGATTTAAATCCTTCCTGGCACAGATATTGACATTGATGGGAATTTGGTTTTAGGAGATGCTGCAGTTTTTAAACAAGTAATTTTTATTTCAGTTGGTTTTTATTGCTTGTGTTTGTACAAAAAAAATTGAAGATAGCATTTATTTGGTAATTACCACTTGTCTGATTTTTTTTTTTATCAGTTCTCAGGCACTCTTCACAAATCCACATAATATTAATAAAAAAATGGATTTTAAATAAATAAAAAGTAAAACAAATATATATCTTAATTTCATATTTATTTTCAAAGGATGGACTTTGTGTGTAACTAAAGCTAGTTTAAGGGGACACTGCCTGGTTTCTTTTGCAAGGATGATGGTTGTGACTATACAGATCATAATTATTTGGGCAAATAACTAATGGATATAATACTTTTCTTCAGTTTAGAGTACATGTGTGTATGTACACTGCTTTTTTTTTTCAGATGTGGACTTGAATGTGACCAAGGGTGGTATGGCCAGAGTTGTGGAAGCAAGTGTATTTGCCTTAATGGTGGCAGTTGTCATCATGTTACTGGAACATGCAACTGTACTGCAGGATGGCAGGTATAGTATACTGTTTACTGAACAACTTACAATCTGATTATCTATCCCACAGTACAGTCACAGTGTTTTTGTTAATTAATATTTCTGAAGGTGTGCATACGTTTTTTTTTTTGCAATAAAACTGACAGAAGTGAATTGGAAAGAAACAATTTCGTATGTTACTTTTTAGTATTTATTTGCTCCTAAAAGATATAATTATAACTAAAAGGTTAGAGCACTGCAAACAAATTGATGAATTATATAAAGATTATAATGAGGCATAAATGAGAAACCATATAAAGGGCTCTCTCATGTTGAGTTTGTTTGTAATATGTTATATAATCTTATTAACCAATCAAAAAGGCTCTTCAGGAAGGGTACTGGTCTGAGGTCTTGACAGTCCAAGACTAAGGGCCATTATTCTCCTCCAGTATGGTTCTGAAAAAGCCTGGTTAATAATAGATATATTATATGTTTGAAAACATTGTGAAAAATTACCACAATCATGGAAAGGAAACTTCAAGTGCTCAATTCTGATTTAGAGCTGACTTGGCATTTACCGTGTATACATCCATCTGACATTTTGAATGCAAGAACAAAAAGTGGTCACACAGGACCATTTTGAACAGTTCTCAATCATGAATACTTGGAAAATATTAGACTGATGATAGGGCAATCAGATTGGCTGATTTTAGCTATGTTGGCCTTGATCTGAGCCCCGAGGGAACTCCTACATGTATATGCAATGGTCGAGGATTCTCATCAGAAAATTTGAATTAATCCCCTAAAGGAGTCCAATTTGGGCATGCTTCAAGCTTTATTTGACTCCTAACTGATACCACTTAAAATGGAATAGGCTCAATTACCAACCTCTGTTTAGGAAAGGAGCCTGCACTAGTAGACTGGACTCAAGAGAGTGGTGGCAATCAAGCCTATAACGAAAATAAGAGTGTTTTTATTATTTTCTCTTTGCCTACTCCCTAAAAGATACTTTGACTGCTCAAAATAGCAGGGTCCCCTCCCCTAAGTAGGACTAGAATCCTTGATTTATACCCCTAAATGAGATGACGGGCATCCCCATCCCATCCCGTCCTATTCCATCTGGAGTCCACCCCCCCC